GTGACCTGGCTGAAGTCGGACGCTTAACCGACTGCGCCACCCAGGCGCCCCGTCTATCTCTTCTTTGTGTCAGTTTTGGTAATCTTTGTTTTTAAAGAAATTTGTCATTCAGGGGTGGAATTTATCTGTACAAAACTGTTCACAGAATCTCCTTTTAATCCTTTTAATGTCTACAGGATCTATAATAATGTCTCCTCTTTTCATTCTTTATATGGTAATTCGTGTTTTCTTTCTTTTCTCCTTGATCAGTCTTATAAGACATTTACCAAATTCAGTAATCTTTTCAAAAAACCACTTTGACATTGTTGATTTTCTCTATTGTTTGTTTTCTATTTTTTTGAATTCCACACATTTTTATCATGTCCTTTTTCTATTTATTTCTAATTTATTTTGGTTTCTACCTTAAGGTAGAGGCTTACATCAACTTTACATCTTCCTTATTTTCTAATAAGAGCATTAAAAGCTACATATTTCTCAAAACAAAACAACTATACATTTTTCTCTAGAACTGCTTTTGCTGCCTCCCCCACATTTTAATGTCTAATTTTTATTATTGTTCAGTTCAGAATATTTTTAATATCCTTTGTGATTTCTTTCTTGACCCCTGGGTTATCTAGAAATGTACTGTTTAATTTTCCAAATATTTAGGGATTTTAGAGGCATCTTATTGTTACTGATTCTCACTTTAATTCTATTGTGATCATGAGATATACTATGTATGGTTTCAGTTCTTTTTTTTTTTTTTTTTTTTTTTTTTTTTTTTTTTTTTTTTAGCATTTATTCATTTTTGAAAGGCAGAGAGAAACAGAGTGTGAATGGGGGAGGGGCAGAGAGAGAGGGAAACACACAACCCGAAGCAGGCTCCAGGCTCCGAGCTATCAGCACAGAGCCCGACGTGGGGCTCGAACTCACGGACCGAGAGATTGTGACCTGAGCCAAAGTCGGCCGCTCAGCCAACTCAGTCACCCAGGCGTCCCTCAATTCTTTTAATATTTATTGATCTTTGTTTTATGGCCCAGTAGATGGTCTCTCTTGAGGACTATTCCACACATAGTTGATGTGAATGTACAATCTGGAGTTGTTGGTAAAAAGTGTTTTATAAATGTCAATTTTGACAAGCTGATTGACAGCACCGTTCAAATCCTTTTGTATCTTTATTGTTTTTATTTTGCAAATTATTGACAGAGAAGTGTGAAAACAGTCCGTTATGGCTATGCATTTACCTATTTCTCCCTTGTCAGTCTGTTAACAATGGCCACTCTGGGTAAAGGGCATACTGAAATTCTTTACACTCTTCTTGCACCTCTTAAGTTTACACTAAATGAATGCCTAACTTTCCTACAGAGAAACCTAAGCTGATAGCCTCTAGTCCAGGTAAGTTTAAAGTCTAAGTTCAGAAGGATCTAACAATACCAATGTGGTATTTCCTCCAACACCGAATCTGGAAACGTATTCCTTATTCTCTTTGAAAGGGGCAAACGGGAGTCTAAATGATTAGATAATTTTGTCAAGGCCCCCAAGGAAAGTCAGTGCTAGGTACACGAGCCTTCCTCCAAATTCCTCTGAAATCTCTAACCCGAGGATTTTGCTTCTCAATTTAGGAATGGGAACGAGTATTATTTTTTTCTTCCCTCTCTACATGTCCTCTCTTTATACTGATGCACACAGACCAGTGTCTGATCCTACATGTGTGTTTTGGTGGTTTCTCCCATAAATATTAGATGATAAGCAACAGTCCCACCTCCACCAAAGATTAATCCTTGAATCCTTATAAACTCTAACACCAGGACTTAAGGAATAAGAACTTTATGATTTTAGGGGTGCCTGGGTGGCTCGGTCAGTTGAGTGTCTGATTCTTGATTTGAGCTTGGGTTGTGATCTTGTGGTTCGTGGGTTCAAGCCCCGCATCGGGCTCTGCGCTAACAGTGCAGAGCCTGCTTGGGATTCTCTCTCTCCCCCTCTCTCTCTGCCCCTATCCTGCTTGTTCATTCGCTCAAAAAATAAACTAAAAAAAAAAAAAAAAAAAAAGAACTTTAGGATTTTATTTTATTTTATTAATTTTTTTTTTTTAACGTTTATTTATTTTTGAGACAGAGAGACAGAGCATGAACTGGGTAGGGTCAGAGAGAGAGAGGGAGACACAGAATTTGAACAGGTTCAGGCTCTGAGATGTTACACAGAGCTCGACACGGGCTCGAAACTCACTGGACCGCTTTATGAGAGCATGACCTGAGCCGAAGTCGGACGCCCAACCGACTGAGCCACCCAGGCGCCCCAGAACTTTAGGATTTTAAATAAGCACAACTGAATCACTAAGGGTCCTCAGAGAGAGAATGAATTTTTTTTAAAAAAGCAAAATTGACATGCCATCCCAGTACTGTGCGTACCTGAAGAACCGGCTTTTGTCCAAGTCCATAGAGTGGCACTCTCGTTTGCTGCTGCTAACCTCTGCAGTCTTCACTACATTGGTCCAGTGGATAGGAGCCTTACAGAAAAATACGCCCAATCCCTTGGGCCGGGCCTGTAGCCGCCAAGAAGTGAGATGTAAAGGCACAGCAAACGAATCCCCTGGCATGATGGCAGGCAGCACCACAGGCTCTGGCACAGAAAACAAGGGTCAGCATCTTCGGGGAATGGTCTCCCACCCAAAAGTTTGACTCTCTCAGGATAAAAGGGGGACAGACTATGTCAAAACTCACTGTCGGGAGCTGACGGGCTATCCAGTCTTAGTTCCATTGGTGTCTCAAGCCTGTTCTTCACAATGAGGGCAGACCGGACGGTGATGACTTTCCGAGCACTGCCTTCCATCGTCACGGCGAAGACCACCCGGACAGGCGGGAGCGAAGAGAACTGTGAGTAAGACAGGAATAAAAGCACCACAGCTGTGCTCGTGAAAAAGCACACAAAATACAGCAATACCAACTAGGATGCCTAAGTCAAAAGCATCTTATTACTCTAACCCTTCAGTGAAATTAGTCATTCAACCCTAAAACCACTCATCTTTAATAGGCATGAATATCCTATAGATAGACCCCATGAATGTAGCCAATCTTAAACATTTCTAGAAAAAGACAAATACTCTACTCAGACGTGGTGTCACAAAGTGTATCACAAAGAAAAATCAGTCCGAGGCCTCTAGACACATTATAAAGACACTAAGACCCATAATAACCTATTAAATCTTCCAAGCTTCCTGCAATTTGATAAGAAACTGTCTGCTGGAAATCACCCTAATGCCCTTGGGTTCTTATACCTCAGCCCTTATATGGAAACTGTGAACGACACTTGTTTTCAACTCTACTGGAGGGGACTAAAGATCATCCAAAGCAACCAAACGTTCAGAAACACTGAGGCAAGACTTTGAAAAACATGAGATGATTTACCTTCTGTGGTATTTTTCTCTCAGATTAACATTAAAGCGAGAAACACTCCTTCAACACTAACAATGAGCTGGATACTACCCAATACACACAGAAAAACAGAAGGAAGTCTTCTGAGATTAGAGCCTGTCTTTGTAAAATCCACAGAGTGTAGGAGAAAGAGCTGTCTGCATTGGTGTGCCTTTCACAGGAACAATAATTACTTTTTCCCCCTAAACGTCATAAAAATTACTCTCTAGGCCCATATACAATTTGTTGACATGCCTGTAGAAGAAGCAACATTTGTATTTCAAAGAGCTTTAAAATCAAACTTCTCTCTCTTCACAACTTTTTCAGCTCTGTCCAATAATCACTCTTTCATAAACGGGACACCGAGGTTCCGAAACTCAACAGAGCGGAGGGAAGTCATTTATTTTTGGTCTTGGGTTGCAGCCACTACTTTCTTTTTCCATGTGTTCATTCACACATCCAACACACGTTTTGTTTTACTATCAAGTGCCGTGTTTTTTCTTTTTTTAAAGTATAAAACCCCACATCAGGTACACCAAAGAGGAGGTTTCTGCAACTACCATTCTTTGAATGAGTGCCCAGAACATACTGACAGTGCTTCTTTTTTTTTTCAATGGAGAAACAAATGACACTACATCCAAGCTTTTCATATTGCCAACTTTTTTATTAAAGCAAACAATATGTGGAAACCAAACTAATGAACAACAAAATGAAGAGCTCCTCCATGTTTTGAACCAAGACTTCCAGGAAGGCCCAATGAAAAGACAAACTATCAGTTTCTGGAGGGTTTTCAGAGGGACAGAATCCCAGCCAAAATCATCACCAAAGCCTCCGCTGACCCAGCCTGGCAAAGCCCCGAAAGGGCCAAGGCCCAAGAATAATAGTTTTAAACCTTGACACTGCTGCTTCTTAAACATACCTGAAATCTCACATTTCAAAACCTACTACCGTCAGAAGAAAGTAAAAGCACAAATATGAAAAGAGTTTTTTAATGTCATCTTCTGGTGATGTTTCAAGAGCCAAATGGGGAAAAAAAAAATCTTACTATTTTTCATTCTTATTTACTTTTATGACCTTGCAACTAAAACCTAGGAAATGCATACAGCCACAGAGGGTTAATTTATATTTTAACTTAGAGAAAGGGACCTTGAACCACAACATGGGTGTTTTCTCCTCCTCCCCTGTTAACGCTAGGTCTAACATACCAAGTTAGTTCAAACGCTTTCTTGCAGGTTCTTATAAAAGGAAGGTAATTGTTAACAGAAAAGGACAAAGGTCAGTTTCAATCACACATAGGTCATGAAGTCCTGGGATCATCAGGACATCTATGTATGGTTGAAACGCAGCGTATACAGTCAATAAACGCAGTGACACAGGAAAACCATACTCACATAAACCTGGGGATGAATAATATTCGTTCTGCTGCCTGGGCTGCCAATCTAAGAAAAGATTCCAAAAGTCAGAGAGCCAGCGCAGACCTCAAATGACAGGCATCGTTAAATTCAATGACAATGTAATGTGCTTGAAAGGGTGGGATTTCTAAATAGTCTCAGTAAAGTGTGGTCCATCGTGAAGAGAAAACATCTTAGAGGATACGGAAAAGGCAATATTCATTTTACAACCATTCCATGTACACGGAATTTCTCCAGGACACATCAATACAACAGAAAGGTATCTGTGGGGCGGGGGGGGAGGGGATGATTCCTTTCCTTACTAGATGGAAATTTAGGTGGGAACGTAATCTGGAAAGAAGGCTTCCTCTTCTAAGAAACTCGGGGCACAAGAGCAGAAGTGGAGAGAGAACAGTGTTCTTGGAGGGAGGGTATTTTTCATGAATAAGGGAGCATGGGGAAAGCTGTGAGGCCTTTGCACTTTCTTCTTCATCACTGACTACCCCGAAACAAATGCAGTTATCCTCCGAAGTACGACCGGGTCCTGGCGGGAGCCCCTGAGGCGGCCACGCCAACTGCAACGCCAGCCTCTACCTGCGTGTCCCAGACAGGGAGGTCACCTGTGTCACCGCCCAGGCTGGCCCTGCAACCCCGAAAGACTGCAGGCTGGGGTCACGTCAGGGCAAGCGTGTGTGAGAGGATGTGTGATCAGAAAATAAGTAACGACGGTGGACATCCGTCCTTATGCCAGAAGGGAGGAGAGTGGAGACACAGAACTAGAAGGACCAAGGAACAGCACTATGGAAATGTAAAGAAGGCCGTATATAAAGGAAGCAGAACAGTATGTGCAAGTTGAGCCAGTACACACGCGTCTGGCAGATTAGTACACTGCCAGTCGGGCTAAGTGAGTACGAAATGGGTCTGCACAGGTGAGGTAATATATGTTACCGCCGATTTTGGATCTCGTTTCTCTGCTGAAATTGACCACTGGCGGCTTATCTACATATTGACTACGACCGCCTACGACTGACCCAAAATATACTTAGGTCTTCCTGCTAGAGCTAGGGGAAACGAGGAACAAGATTTCACTAGAGCAGAGTGACAGGCTTAACCTGTCTGACTGGCTTTCAGGGCATGTGGCCGGGGCACCGCGGTGCCACTAAATACCCATTCTAGAGCCACACACCGTAGAGGAAGAGGAATTCTTATCCGGTGCTGCATAGCGGAAAAATGTCCCGACTTTGTCCACAGACACTGGGCTCACTTGCTCCCAGCCGTTCACTCTCACTTGCAGCTGATGAATCCGGAGGTCGTGGGTGTGTCTACCAAGGAGAACACGGGAAAGCATGTTAAGCACAATCGGAAAAAGGGTAAGAAAGCGGAAGCAAAGAGTCAAATCTGATTTACCGTATAAAGACCTAAAAACCCAGTTGGCCAAGCCTTTTTGAGGATTACCCAATGCGAGAAAAATCAGGAGAATATTTTTAAGTGGGTGTTACACTTAAAACAAAAGTGCAAGATCCGTAAAGCTTGAGCAAGAGCACGTTTACCCTCCCTTTGTACAAACTTTGCAAGTCCTGTGCACAAGCCCAGCTTCTTCCCCCACCAGCCCCACCCCAAGCTCGATAAAATGACGTCAGGTATAACCATTGCAGCGGGGCGGTAAAACTGTTGCACCAGCAATGTCGTCACATAACCGTACTCTCGGAAATGCGTAAGATGGCATTTCTTCTTGGCTCCCTACTTCTCTTGGAACCACATTCAGTTGTTTGGCTTCGGTCCTACAAGACTACAGACAGGTTATGAGAGACGGAGCCCTCCGAGCGTTAGGGCTGAAGTCCTCGGCTGAAACTAGAGCAGAGAAGGCAGGGGGCAGAACAGGAGGAACGGGAGGAAATTGCACATTTAATTCTATTTTAGATTTTGCCTAATTCAAGCCAGAAGCCTGAAATGGGGAAGTGGACTTGGGGCTGACAGGAAAGGGGGAGGGAGGCAGGGAGTGGGGGTACCATGCGCCAAAGAGCTGGAAAAGCCAGAGAAGGCATTTATTTTGATGAATTCAAGCAGAACAGTGGGACTTGAAAAGCATTACTGGACGGGTATACTAAAACGGAAATGACAAAGAGGTCAAACCCCTTCTGTCACAACGGAGGCCGTGCTGATTAAGAAATGCAGCCAGCACTTCTACAATTGGCTTCTCCAGGAACTTTGTGGAACAGGAAAATGCTCCCCACTCATCCCTGGAAATTCTACCGTGGCTTCCAGGTACATGTGCCCAGCACGGTGATTTTCTAAGCTCCGTTTTTCCTGTGTTATCACCGAGGGGGCCCACAAGTTCAGAAGGCCTGCCACGAGGGAATGATGTGTGCTGGTACAAGTGACACATGAGGAAGAACTGTCTGACTCGGGGGCAGGTTTGCACGCAAAGACTTAAAGCACACGGAAGCAGAAGACCACGGAAGGCTGAAGCCGAGCTCTTAAGTTTCAGCCCTGCTTGAAAACGGGTATGAGGCTCAAATGCTAAAATCTTAACCTATTCGCTATCCACCCGATAGCCCTTCCACTTTAACATGTTTGCAAATAAAAGGACATTTTATGACCTCTCAGTAACCAGACAGAACCTCTTTCACATTTATCCCGGTCCTCTGGCTGGCTGTTTCAAGAGCGCACTGGCCAGCAGTCTCCCCAGATGAGTCATTCTTATCCTCCTTAGAATCAGAAGTCCTTATCATTATTGGCCCTGCTTCCTGAAACCACTTGCTTGCTAAGAGTGCTATGTGGCACGTGCGTCTCTTAAAGCTAAAACCGACGTGCTCGGATAACCTTTTAAGAATAGCATGTCATGCCAGTTGTGGAAAGAGTAAGTCACAGGGAGACAAGCACAGCACAGGGAATATAGTCGGTGGCCCTGTAAAAGCGCTGCGTGGTGACAGATGGCAGTCGCACCTGTGGCGAGCACAGCCTAACGGAGAGCTGTCCAATCACCACGTTGTACAGCTGAAACTACTGTCACACTGTGTCAACCATACCTCAATTACAAAAAATAACAACACACAACAAAATCAGGTCACCAGTGTGCCATAAAAACCAGGCTAGGACACAATGAACTTGACAGCTGCTCTCCATCTTTCGGCCAAATTATGGGAAACACACTGGTTATCAGCTCATGTGTCAAATAAAGGGATAATTAATGGAAACGAAATGTATTTCCAAGACAGTGAAAGGAAACACTGATTTTCAAAATACCTTTTAAAAATAAAACATTAGGGGCACCTGGGTGGCTCAGTCGCTTAAGTGTCCGACTCTTGACTTTGGCTCAGAGCATGATCTCACAGTTCGTGAGTTCGAGCCCCACAGTGGGCTCTGTGCTGACAGCTGGCAGCCTGCTTGGGATTCTCTGTCTCCCTCTCTCTCTGCCTTTACCCCACTCTCGCACACATGCACATGCTCTCTCTCTCTCTCTCAAGATAAATATTTTAAAACATCATAATAAAAAGATAAAACATTAAAATCATTAATAAAGGCAAGTGAAAACGTAAAACACTAGAGACTATCTTTTATAATATACAGATATATACAGTCTATTTGGTGGGGAGGAAGAGAACACACAACACTTTACCTGTGTCTTAGCTTTCCTCTTGCCTCAAATTCAAAGGGCATCTCTTCACCCGTGAGGACTTCCCGCCATTCGCTGACATTGTGAGCATCATCAAGAAACGTTCCATTCCCTTCTGGAACGAGCCCTGGACTCCCACTGTGCGACAGTGCAGCCCTGGAACCAAAGCAGACAACGCCAGCTTGTCCCTCTTTCTCTCTCGACTCCCTCTCACCAGAGCTTGGTGCTGGGGGCAGAAACCCTCCGGGCACTCAATCTACATAAGAAGGCCATACAGCCTGGCTACCAGGATAACCTAAAAGGTCAGTAACTACAGTTATCTTTGTGACCATCACGGCTTCTGTGAAGCTTTAGAAACAGCTGAAAGCTATCACTGCACAGCCACTTACCTCCAGCAACAGAGCCCAGTACACAGGGAGATGTGTAAACTCAGTCATGAGTTTTAAAGGGAGTTTTTAAGTGACTATCTGGAATGGAACAGACCTAAACTGCTTTTAAAAAACAAACGTCTCCTCTGAAGCATTATCATACTTAGTGGAGGCAGGAGAAACGTGGCTTCGAGTCAGCAGATTCTGTTACTTATTTCACGCACCTCATTCCCTAAATTGGAAAGATCAGCGTATATTTGGAGGGTTGAGCCAAGGTCTACACAGGCAGAAAGCTGGTAGAGAACACTGTCACTCGCCCAGGTAACCTCTTTGTTCTCCAAACTCCACCCACTTCCATCTGGGGTGAATTGCTTTAAGTCTGGAAAAGAATTCTTGGTGGGAGTTTAATATGGGGGGTGTTTTCAAAGCCATCTTGGAAGAAAAATGCAGGCTGTTTGGTTTAATAAAACCACATACAGCTTCTTTTCAAAGGGGGTGGGGGTGGAGACTGAGAAAAGATGGGGTGACTTCTCCCTCCCACCTTCATACTCACATCCCTAACCTGCTGGACTTTTACCTTAAACGTAATGGGCATCAGGGCCGGGATCGTAATCTGGGTATTTCAGACTCAGGACCTACTTCTCTGGCCACAGATTCCACCTCCCTCACAAAATCCCAGCAAGACAGCGAGTTACTGACTCAAATACAATCCCAAGGGCTTCAAGAAGGAGCCCACCTTGCTCTGCTGGGCCGGCACACAGGAGCAGGTGTTCCTTACCTGGTGGGTGTGGTGGTCAGGGTGGCAAACCACAAAGTGCAGCCTGTGTGATTCCTCAGAGCAAAAGGGACAAAGGGCTGCCGGCGCTTGGGGGTTTTCACCTCTGCTGTGGGCAAACGGAAGGAGGCCGTTAGCATACCCCTCCATCTGCGCAGCAGAGACCCCCACCCCACAGCCGCACACAGGGCCCCTAACCGTCTCTTGTGCAAAGGGGCCGACGGCGGCTGCGGCAACAGACGCAGAGCCACCACAGGTGTGTCGACAGGACTCTCAGGGTCTCCACGTCCTCTGCTGCCTGCTACGTGGCGACCGTCCCCCTACGACTGGCTGTGACGAGGGACTGCTCCCAGCCCCTAGGCCTCCCACAACTCTTGTGGGCCTGCATTCAGGAGAAGGTGCCCGGCCCTACCCAGACGATAGCAAGACACAGCACACATCCTTGTTCAAACGTTGTCCAAAACACCTGCGCTTTAACAAAGACGCCCTTCCTAGAACAGCTACACTTCAGTCATATTATGCACATTATAGCAAAATAAAAACATTCTTTTCTATTCTCTTAAATTCATATTTTCCCCCCTCCCTCCCTGGAAGATCAGAAATCTACTATCCCAAAACTTTTTACATGAGATTTTTAGTTGTTGTTGTTGTTGTTGTTGTTTTTTAAACGTAAGATGTAGAGCACCATCTGCCGTGGGCACTATGGGGACTACAAAAGGAGCACAAAATATGATTTCTTTTCACAGAACAGCTTCCTGTCAAGGACACTGGAAAGAAATGGTGATCAATCACAAAACCGTAAGTAACCAAATCCCAGAGCCCTGACTAGAAACACTGGAAGGAAACAGAGAAGTGGGAGACCGTGCAGCCAGGAGTGGCTGTCCAGAGCCCAGCGTGCCTGGAGGCCCTTTTGCGGCACCGCTGCCCTGTCGTGCGGTCTGGCCTGGACCGGCGGGTCGGGAGGACGGGCACGGCTCTGCTCACCCAGGGCCCACGTCTCCTCTGCCGGTGGCCCTGGGAAAGTGGGAAGGGGCGGCAGGAACCGCAGAGGCAGGGGCCCCGTGCTCACACTGCCCATGCGGCCAGCTTTAAAGCAGAGAAACAGCCCAAGAAGGACCCGGACCCAAATGGTCTGCAGCTGCGGAAAATGACATCTAGGAGTGACTGCAACTGCCCATGGACAACACAAGAGCAAAATTAGATTCATCTTCCAGGACCACATGCTTCCGGCCAGCAAAACAAGAAGGAAACCTGCAATGGGCTGTGCCTTCTCCCACTGCTAGGCTAAGGCCTGGGCTGGGATCGTGGAAGTCAAGAATTGCTGCTGCCTTTTAAAAAATAATCGCTTGCTTTTCTTCCCCTTTGTGCCTTCTAAAGTTTTCAGAAGTTAATTACTAGAAACGCTGCAAAAAAAAAAAAAAAAAAAA